GCCTGCCACGAAATCTGCACATCGAGATTCACAAAGTGCTGCGCCTGCCACGAAATCTGCACATCGAGATTCACAAAGCGCTGCGCCTGCCACGAAATCTGCACATCGGAGATCCAAAATGAGCAAATTGCACGAGGCTTTCGCAAATTTTGAAATGCGTTTCAGAAATGCTGTGCCTGCCACGAAATCATGCCTGCAGGTCATACGAAATGCTGTACTGGCCACGCAAAAGCATCCTCAAGTTCAAATTCCAAAAATGCGACCCCTCTCACGAATTCAGCCGTTTCACCTCAAAATATCGCATCCATGGTGCGGATTCCCTGCGCCTGCCACGTGAAACGCAATCCTGCGAATGACACACGCCTGCCAACGTTTTTGCAACGTCCACAAAACACTGCGCCTGCCACGAAATTTGCAAAGTCTCCGATTCCTTGCACCTGCCACGTAAAATGACCTTTTCGAGGCTCCAATGTGTCGAATTCCTTGCGCCTGCCACGCAAAATGCACTTCATGTCCGAAAACGAGCACGGCACCTGCACGAGAGCTTTGTCCCGGAAGCGCGAAAGGCGCGGCCCCCACTTTATGCGAGCCTGCGCAGTCGAAATGGACATGAGGAATTCAAAAAGTAACTTTTGTGCGAGCCGGCCCACGCAAAATGCCGGGGCCACACGCGCGAACCCTGATCTAAACCGGCTTAACTCTTACCGTAAGAACCCCTTAGTGCGGAGCACTATTTGGGGAAATATGATGAAATATGTTCCTTCACACATCCAAGTTTTCCTACACATTTCTTATCAACCAGGAGACCACTTATAGACAACCTTTTTTGTTTCTTGACGCGTCGTTTTACACGTCGCAGGAGCCGGCGCTCCATGAGCTGTTCAAGACCTGACTTAGCGGTCGTGGTTTTTGGGGTCATGGTTTGGCGGATCGTGTCATTTGTGATTTTGCCTGAACTGTCCATGCGGTTTTGTAGCTATACCAACGGAATGGCCTGGTCTTTCAAAGATCAATGCATGTGCATGCATGTGCTATCTTCTGGGGTGGTTATAGCCATTATATAATATATTACTATTGGGTTAGTTTGAATTTGGGGATTCTCTTTTGGGTGCACTGGGATGATCGGTCGCACCACGGTATGTGCACGTATATTATATAACAATGTCATAATAATGTCATGCATGTTTTTTTGCAGGGCTTGTTGGTTGCTGGTTGCTAGAGACAATATAACCTTCTCCAGGAGATTGCATTATTTAATGTGGCATAGGCATAGAGCTAGGATGTACGGCAGGTGCTGCTGTTGGTCAATTCCGGCGAATTGTGACCCCACATTATTGTTCACTTTCTTTGTGGCCAAACCCACTCAAGACTCAAGACAACTCTCGTGATGTCTAGCATGTCGATTCCAGTCATCAAAAAGATCCAATTTAACGAATCACAAACCATGCCATTGTTCAAACATGCGTCATTTTTTTCTGAGATCCTTTTGCATTACAGCACTGAAAAACACAAATAATCTCTGTCCATGACCTGAATCTGCAGAATTTTCAGCGTTTGGGGAGTTCTTCCTCAATTGTCTTGGTGTGGTTCGGATGGTTTGGGTGTGCATCTCTTGGAAATTTCAATGGAGGAAGACCTCTTCAGAGCTGCAGTTGAGCCGCTGTAGGAGCGGATCGACGATGAGAGTCTTGCCAACAGAGCAGACTCCGACTGCCGCCTCCATGCACCGGCGGATGCTTCTCACAGGCTGTGACATAGACATAGATGGCCAATTCTACTTGTTGTTTGGTTGATCCATCGAGGGAATATCCCCGGTCGTTAACAAGCAATAGGTAAATGGTACTAGACCGACCCCTCTATTCTTCCCACAAGGACATCACTGCAACCTGAGCGCTCACTTCCATACTCATGTTGATCAAGCCCCCAAATGAGAGCGGATTCTTGGAGTGCTTACTGTACCCTGAGACCATCCAAAACAATGTCAATATGTGAGTTACAAAGTGAGTTCCAATATAGCTAGGTCGGATTAGGTTGGTAGGTAGAACAAAATCAGCTTGCAGCCTACTTGGGCCTCGCGGAATCGTGCGCTGTTTTCAACTGAGAGCTGCTCCCTTCGTTGGCCATCTGCGACGGTGCGATGGAGACTGCGACCGGCGGAAAATGGACCACTGGGTGGTTCGTTGTTTTGTGTCGCCGACGAGATGGAAGGACGTTTTGTTTGCTCACATGCATGGAATATATGCCTACATTGACCCCCCAAACCACCCCAATGTAGACATATATGATACATGGAGCGTCTGGGATATATAATGCGGGATTCGACCGGAGTCCTTGGCCGTATTTTTGATGTGAACGGCACGGCTACGTGGCTTGAGACTCACGAAAAAAAACCACCCACCACAACCAGCGCCCCAAGGTCGTGGCCTTCTTCCTGCTTGTGACTGGCCTGACGATGGTCCTGCATGGGCGCCTGTTCTTTCCTTTTTTTTGATGGCAGATATGGCAGCCATGGGTTTGCAGGAGGCAAGCTGGGGGGACTTGGGACAGTCATAGGTTTGGTTGAGAGGCCGTGAGACATTCCATGTTTATATGTTTTTAGACACCCTTCCCATGTTTTCACATTCTGAGTACATGCCGAGGATGTACAGACAGGCACGCATGTAGTAGCAGGCGTGCCATTTAAAGGGCAAATATGGGGGAACCGGTTCCAGGGCTCATCCGAGGCTCAATGCCGTTCTGGACCACAACGAATTACCACACTGGATCTCAGAAGACCACAGAACACCCAAAGGAACACCCAAAGGAACACATCAAGCACAACGAATACAATAACATAGAATCATATAGATTATAGATGCTACAAAGACACCCAACTCCTAGAAGAACGAGCACGGCACGTTTACGTGGAAAACCGTCTCTTCCCTAAGGCGCGCGTTCTACCGTCGCCGAGACCGCAGAGAGCGATCGCAGACCAAGCGGTCGAGCAAAGAATGCTCCTCTACCAGAGCTTCTTCTGGGAGCGGACGTGGCGCGTGGCGCGTGGCGCGTGGACCAGTGGCGCGTCCAACAGCGTCCCAACGGTCTGTGGGCAGTGCTTGGGCAGTTAAACACAGCCTTATGTGGTCAACTTGAATGATACATCAATTGCTTTATGTGGTCATCATTTGGATCATTTGGTTTAAGGGGATGAGATGAGCTTGTACCTGTAGACAATTTGCTGTAGGGGACGGGGATGATGCTTTAAAGAGAGTTCGGTAGATCCATACTCGAACTCGTGGGATGCTTTGAGACTTGGAGCCACTTCTTTTTCTCACATTCTGAGGTTTTCAGTTTCACACTTCGAGGTGTGAAAAGCATCAAGGCCCTTCCATTTCTTTGAAGGCCACCCCGTATACCTTGCGTGTCAATTCCAAAGAGGAACGAGAGTCTAAGAGATGTGGATGGCCACTTGTTGGTTCTCTTCTTTTGATTTTCTGAGCCATACCGCCATACCATAGTCACACCGACCCCGATGTATGCCACTGTTCTATACTTGTCACTCTTGTTACCTCTCGGCATGTCCTTCGTTTGTGGTGCGTGTCCTTCGTGGTGACAGGAGCTTCTGCAGCTCTGTCCCTGGCGAAGGCGAGATGTTCAGCATGTGACGCGCGCGCGCATGACACGCGAAGCCAGAGAATCAAAACCTGCCACTTTCCCTAGTTTTGTGACAGTTCGTAGATTTGCAGGACATCAGTTGGTCCATCAGTGGAATTATACCTAATTAAGTGGATCTCGGCAGGCAGCATGGCCCAAAGCTGCAAAACCTGGAGGTTGATTTTGAGGTAGTCCTGTTCATGTTCGCGTCATCTCCGCCGTTCGTTCATGGGGTCGCAACCAGGGTAGTGGATGGGTCTTTTAAGTCTGTAAAGCTATTTGTGGTGGTGTCCAAGCACCAAAAAGAAGACGACACCTCCATGAACTCTGTACTAGGGGGCGGTTTCTTCCTAAATGATTCGATCATGACTTAGGAGTCTTAGGAGGTCTTATATACCTGTACCATCCAATGGGTGTCCTGGTTGGAGATCCTTAGGTAGTGTGGGGTAGTCCAGCCAGGACACCCAGACAGGATGGTCCTGGTAGGAGTGTTGGTTAAAGATATGGAATTGCTAGTACCAAGAACCGACAGATGGCTTGGAAAAGATCAAAGGCGCTGGACAAAACATGTTTTTGTGGACGCCCGGCGCCACCAGGTGGTACAAGTTCCATAAAGTTCCAACCATCATTGACATTGATTAATGGTTCTTACAGTTTTCACCGAACAACTATTGAAACTATACTCAGGATTTTAGAAGACCAGTTCACCCACGTTTTAAATGGTCGAAGCGAAAGACGATGACTACACCACTTGCCACTTCTAGGCGGCGCTGGAAGTTTGCGACCCTTCTCCTCCAGATCAGGCCTGGCCAGTTTGAAACGCTTCTGACGGCCATCATGCAGATCAGATCTATCTCATAAGTTATATTATAAATTATCTATAGGAAGATGTGGGAGACTGAGAAGACGCATTCCAATGTTACCCAGGCCCCCTTCCAGTAGTGGCTGCCTAAGATGCATTTTAGATCATATCATACCCAGTTGGTCTTCTGACACCAAGACCTCATGAATGCCATCAGCCATTGCCACGGATGAGGTGTGCCTAAGACCCTCGTCGCGGAGCCCAAAGGGAAAGCTCAGACGGACTTGAGGACTTGAACTCAACGTAGCTCAAAGTACTGTGGTTTCAGAGTACTGTAGATGGCACTGGCGGCACTGGCACCCCAAGATTACTTTTAGATGAGGGTCTATATAAACCACCTTTTGGGCATTGTGCCATCTACTCTCAAGCCACTGTACCTCCAACAGGGAGGACCTTCGGGCAGTTCGACTGGAACCCCTAGGTCCTGTAGGTTCAACATCTGAAAGATTACACTCTTGTTGGGGTCCAAATGGATGCCTCCAATTTGGGCAGATTCCAGCAACTGTCATCCACAGCTTTGCACTCCTCCCATGTCAGACGGCACGTCGACCTCTTCAGGGGGGGGGGTCGTGCACTCCTCCAGGTTTGGCCTCCGGAGGAGAGTTCTCAGCGCTCAGAAGCGCCGCAGGTCAAGGACAGCGACCTGCGTACGGCGCAGTGTGTCCGTTTTTGCGGTAGCGCGGGCGGCTGCCAAGCACTGAGTGGAGAGAGTGGAGTTGATTGGTTGGACATGATCTTGGTGATGTTCGTAGTGTGCTTGACATATATATATATATATATAGATAATTCATTTATTTTATATTCCTTTCTGGTCTGGTGACCCTTCAGCTTAGGTTGGTTTCGTCTTCTTTCGTATATTCATGGCAGGTTTAGAAAGATGGAAGGGTGAAGCTGTTCAGCTCCTGCACTGAGAGGTTGTGTTGAGTAAGATGTGGATGGAAAATTGATGTTTTATTGAAGAAACACTGTCATTTCAAGTCGAAAGTCGCCACATCCAGAGTTGTTCGGTTGTGATTTCATCAAGTACTACGTTACAATTCAACAGCATCCTTGAGGAAAGCACTTGAGTCAGTTGTTTGCAGTGGCTACAACAGTTGTTTGCTCTGCAAGGGGTACTTGAAGAGCAGCTCATTGTAGCTGGTTGGCTGAACACGGAACAGGGGTTGGACAGCAAACAAAAGCACAAGAATCATCATGACTCAACTTATCCTATCTTATCCTGAGGGGCAGTTAACTTACTTTGTCAAGATGGTTTTAGCGGCTTAGGAGTTCCACGGACCGTCGACGGACATGGGATGGGGACGGAAGGACGCCTCGAGAGTTCGCCCGATCTCAGGAGCGTCAGGAGGTGGTTTTCTCAGAAAAACAGATCAATCAATACTAAGGATTTGGGATGA